GCTAGTCCAACGGCACCGTTGTAACAACCCAATGATGGTATGTGGTCAGTTGTGCTAAAATGTTCGCAAATTAATTCTACGGAGAAACCATTCAAGTAATATATGGCCTAGCGTTTGAGAAACGATCGCATGTAACAACTATGATTCCCATGCACAAATCAAGAAGGAGTAACAAACACGCTATGCAATCGGCGTCGTATTTTGAAACCTGGTGAGAAGGGCCAAGAAGACAGACCGCATGAAAATCAGCTGTTGCCATATGATCAAGTCATTATCGACCCTGGTGAGCATCAGAATCCCAGCTGAAGAGCTTATGACAGTACCAACTTCGACCACGGCCCTAATTTGTCCAGACGATCGAATCGGAGACGGCCGCCGCACCGAAATCAAACATCCATGGGTTTTCCATCAGCCTCTCCAGAGTTGACCGTCTTCCCTGTCTTCTTGATCGTCGCCAATACAGTCTCGTAGGAAACAGTGGGTTCTGTCTTGACAAGGGCGGTCTGCGAGTCCAGGCTCACATCGAAAGACTTGACGCCTACGAATAACGTAAAAGGACGGATCAGTTTGCCGCTGAGCAAGAGGAGGAGGAAGGTTGTATTGGAGTTGCAGGAAGACAACCAGTGTTATTTTGGTCGCTCTTACCATCTAGCTTCTTCAAGACACGCTCCACAGCGCCTGAGCAGCCACCACAGCTCATGGAGACATTGAATTTGTACTGATGCTCAGACATGGTGTACAAAAAACCAGGGACCTGATGGATTGTGTTTGATGGACAAATAACCGGGTCAAAACAAAAATATGTGCTCTCGACGGTCGAGGGGTATTGAAGATTGATAACGGATCTGATACGTAGCCGCTTATGATAGAGGGGTAATGGGGGGTGGACAGCACGTGCACACCACTGTTGATGAAACGTTCAGAGAAATGGATTTGCAATTACACAAGAGTAATAGGGGAAGAATATCAATTGATCTTGATTGCACATGGGACCAGTCTGAAACGAGGAGATTTCATAGAAGACACTGCCTCCTCAAGCAGAGACTTGAAAAGTCTATTTATAAGCATCCCCCCGATCGCTCAGCGTCTATCGAGGGAATCACGCAAAAATCACTCATATTGCGCGAAAGCCTGTCAAGACACCCTTTGATTCTACTGTTCAGCTGCGGTTCTCCAAAGTCATCTGTATAGTGGTCGCTCCAACTGCAACGTTGGTAAACAGATAGTGTCGATTCCTCTCCGTGGGAATTACTTCTCGTCACTCTTGATCCTGAACGGGCCCCTTCAAATGTCCTACTTTCAGAACTTTCTAGACTCCACTTGTCCTTTAAAAGCCAGCTGCTCTTTTCTTTTTCCTCGCCTTCATGAAAGTTTTCCGACTGGCTTCTCGACCTCCAAACGTACCTCTTTCTACCTGGGTCATCGGTAGATCCTCCTCCATAGCTTGACTACTTTGAAATCTTAACATTGCAGACGGCTCGCCGACCTCTGGCTGGCTACCCCATTCTCGAGCGGCAAGGGCATTGGAGGATACGGGAGGCAGCTGTGATGAATTCAATGGAGTGCCTTGCGACGCCTTTTTCCGCAGGCGCCGTTTCGGTGTTGTAGCTTTAGAGGCACGTTGCAAATCCTCTTCCTCCAGCGTCTGCGCCATCCTTTGCCAACTATACGTGGCTGGGTCGCTACCTACTTGCCAATGAGAAAGCAAGTTTGCCATACCTCCAGATGGTGGACGCTGGGTTTGGAAGGTTGTCATAGAAGCTAGTCCACAGTAGACAGGTTCCGTTCCGCTTGAACGCTTGGATACTTCTTGCTCGTCTGTCAAAAAGTTACTCTGAATAGTTTTGCTGGCTGCCGGCTCCAGTGCATAATCACTAGAAATCACTCTCGGTACAGATAAGTGTCGTTTACCAATTTCGAGAGATGAAGGAGAATTGACTGGCATGGGCGACAAGTCGTCAATTGTTTCATGATTGGTGTCTTCCGTCGAACGCACGATACCTGCTTCGTTGAGCGGCTTACGCTGTAAAATGGGCTGCGTCAGAGCAAGCTCTGCTGCCACTTTGCGAATGACCCTTTCTTTCATAATTCGCGTGCGCCCGGGGATATCGTGCTGAAGGGTTGAAAGCCAGTCATTCACTAACCGATCGTAGATGTCGACCAGTTTCACCTTCGAGGATCCGAATAGGTCCAACGACTGCTGCGGGAAAAGTGCTAGTTGACTGCTTGCCAGGAGATTGCGTGACATTCTCGGAGCCAGAAATTCATCAAGAAATTCATCATAATCATGAGCATTCTGGTCGATGTCGTCTAGCAGAGGACTTCCGGCAAGGACTTCTAGCCTGTTAAGGTGTCAGTAATAAAATCATAAAGTATACGTCCGACGTTGACAGAGCCTACATGGTCTTACTGTTAGAAAGATGAGTCAAGTCTGCGGAGGCCATTCTGTCCTTCAGTTCCTTGATAGACTCTTGGAAGCCTCTGTCTTGTTCTTCGCCGACTTCACTTGACCCCGCAATTATCTTCCCGAAGGCAATGGCGTAGATTGAGCTATAATCAGTTGTCCATTGGGTAGTGGCCAGTGGCGTTATGTGAGAAATCCCCGTATCTGCGACCGTGAACGTTCCCCTACTCACCACAGACTCATCCCAGTCGTCGACCACAAAGTCATCCCGCGAGTGAGTAGACTGCTTTCTCCGAACTCCGGGATAGCGCTTCCTTAAACGCAGGGCATCCTTTCCCAACTGCTGATCATCTGCATTAACCCCATTCTCACCTGCCGGGCCAATGTATATCGACTCCCGGACCGCCAGACGCGAGTCTATTGTGAACAGTTTTATGATTTTGGCGGTAGCGTCGTATTGCTCCTTGCTCCCGGCAGATGGTGCATGTGCAATCTCTCGGAGAACCAGAGTTGAGAACTGAGCTGCATTCGGTGAGATCTGAGTTTCTGGGCTCTCTTCAGATACGGGAGGGATCTCTAGAACGAACGGGTCCGATATAGATGTCAGATGCATGTATCCATCCCATGCAATTGGAACCCGATACCCCAATACCACATCATTAAGCCGAGAGTACAAGACGAGATACAATTCTTCAAAGCATATTGTTAGCGTGGCACTGTGAAAGACAAGGGTAAAGGCATACCTTCAGAAACGACAAGAGAAGCCAAACGCAATGTCGTGTCCTCCGAATCTCTAAAATGGCGCCAGGATAGAATGGGTAACAGAGACGGCCTTGAAGCATCATTTTGAGAGTCCGCGACGAGAACGGAAGATACATCAAGCCAAAATATACGTGATGTTGTCAGAATGAACACTTGGGACACATTGCAAGCACTTCTCTTGACATCTAAAATCCACTCTGATTTCCTCTTGAGCTCAAGCTCTATCGTAAAAGGCTGAGTTTCATTACCCTCTGTCCGATAAAGTATGGGACAACGTCGGTCCGACACAATGAAGCTGTTGACGTCGCCCACCCATTCGATTACTGCCCATCCATCATGTCGAGGAGAGCCATTGATATTCTGAGCATGGCCAAGGTCAAGCCATGGTAATGAGCCGGACTTGACGCACGCCGCAGTCCAATTGCCCTTACCTCGTCTATGCCGACCTACCATTTCCCAGACGCTCCAATTTCCTCTCTCATCGACAATGGCCAATTGTTTCTGATACCACGGGTTAAAAGTGACGTCGGCATGCGCATAACCTCCCGTTTGGAAGTGCGAAATCTCGATCAATGGGTTCGCGTCAAGGCGCGAGGATTGTGTATGGCTCGGAACCACACGGTCACCATCCTGGTAGATGTGCACAGAAACCGGCTTCCTACGATACAGAGGTCTGAACACAATCGTTGAATGAGAAAAGCGAGCAGCGGCCCATGTCGGCTTCTCTTCTACCGTTCGCGCAAAACAAATTTGGCGGACGGGGGCACCTCCTGCGGACCATTCGGTACACTCAGTGTCTCCGACCACTGGGATCCGGATTCGAGCTTTCATTCCGTGCTTCAGTTCAGCAGTGCCTTCTTCTATCTTCCGGAATGAAATGACATTGCAACATTCTCCCCGGACAGTGATGGCGATCGGGACTACCCGATTGCCTGACTCATGATTCTCGAAATCCACTGCATTCCCCAAGTCGAAAAGAGAGGACACCAAAGGGTCGCATAATTCACCTGCCGTCGTAATAATGTGGGAAACTGTCTCATTATCGACTAAGGGCCAACAAGCGGCTAATTCAGGGTGGGCTCTAGGTAACAAGCTTTTATTCTCTATGAGTGAAGACTGTGGCGCCGTCAATGGTGAGACAACGGTATTCTCCGTAACTCCTGTGTAGACGAGGAGAGGTGCTTGCTACTCAGTTAGTACATCGCAAGCCCAAACTATTATTCACGACCTTTCTCTTTGCTTCAAAAGGTTTCACTTACACCGGGCAAGGGTTCTTGAAAATGTCCAAGCTCGTGTTTCCGGCTGATAAAWCGCTCTTCCCAAGTGCCCATAATGTAGAGCACTGGTAGAATATTCATCCATTAGGCGTTTCTGTACTCTTACTGATATGTCCGATATCAAACAGGGTGAGCATGTCGAACTGTCAAGGGCTGAAGTGGTGTCCGCTGCTCCAGAGAACTAAACTTTGCATTGATCCTGTTTAGAGATAAAACCAAGATGACTCGTCACCATGTCAAAATAGACAATCTTGATGGTGGAAGTGGTGGCTGGCTTGCTATTCGAATGGAGAGGGAGTCAGACAAGAGTTGTTCAGTCCAGTGACCTTTTTACGAGGTACCTATTGCCAAGCAGCGTTAGCTTCGGCAGTTGCGCCGCAACAACAAACATCAGGTAGCGTCCCGCTCATGACTACGGAGTAGATAGAATCACTCCTCAATAACGCGATACGGATATATTCTTGACTTATCAAGCACCTTAGTTATTTTTCTCTGGACTGGTGCGACGACTTGAGAATATATACGGCGGATCCGGACTCTCAGAAATCCTGTTCACAATGTCGTCTTCGTTCGAACCTTCGCTTTCGACGAGTGGTATGCGACCGCCACTCGCAACAGCAGACGCACCATCGATGGCAGACACGCTACCTACCATCAATTTTGGATTCGAGGATTTGCGTAACCGCATGGCTCAGTTCACCGCTCGCTTCGATGCTTTCATTGAGCGAGGTCGGAAACAAGTGCTAGAAGAGCGAAACCAATTCAGAATAGGATTGGCAGAGTTACAAGGTGTGTACCAATCATCCACAAGACGTTCAACGAAAGCATAAGCCGCTAATCCTGAGTTAAGAGGATCAGCGCATGCGACAAAGAGATATTGAGATCATTAATCTCAAGGCCCAGACGCACGAACAGACCCTCCAGAAAGAAGCGGCTGAGGCAGCCGAAATGCACGCTGCTATCTCGTCCGTCGCATTAGAACGCGACTCTCGTCTGGCGAAGCGCGACCGTCTGAGGCAACAAATTGAAGAAACTCAGAATGCCATCAACCAGAAATTAGAAGCCCAGAAGGCTCATGCCCGGCATCTAGATGCACAATCCCGATTGAACTTTCCAGAATTAGAATTCTGGCAGGATTATCTATGTTTGCGAATCGAAGGTGCCGGACGAGAAGATCGGTTGAAATTCGTCTACAGTCACCTTCTGGAGAAAGATTGGGACACAGAGGCGTGGTTCGAACTAGGAACCGCCAGTCGCGATTACGAAGTCTTCCATACGCGGCCGAAAGTGGATAGAGAAGCTCTGGAGCGGGAAGTCGACCTCTTGAACGAGGACCGTGATTTTGGGGCTTTTCTGAAACGGATGCGCAGGCTACTTGTCGAATCGCTCAAGTAGGGTGTTGCCCTCTATTGGCTAAGAAAGCTTCTCATGACTTCTATTCTACTTGACTGTTTTGAACGATACAGTTCACTTGCTGAACCGCAGCGCGGGAAAGAAGAATTCCTTTCATCTGGTTATTTCCGAAAGCACAATATGGGGTCGGCCCCAAACAGTAATCAACCACCAGTTGCTTCGCGATAGAAAGCTATGCTTCGGCTTGCTCCAGCAGTAGCAAATCCTTCAGACTTCCCAGTCTTTGGCAGCCACTTGGCGCTCCAAACCGCCTTCTCCGTCTCCGAATGAGTCGCGACGCACGACCTTGTATCAATTGACCAGACTTTAACTTTTCCATCAAATGAACTTTGCATTCGTTAGCCGTAGATTCTAATGGATTTTGAATTAGTCATATCAACCGACCTGCTCAACAGGTACTCCCCTGTATGGCTCCAAGAGAGTGAAAGAATCCAAGCTGAGTGACCCGAGAGATTTGCTACCTGCTCTCCAGATGAAGTGTCATAAAGCACAATTACCCTTGAATCTCCAGCGGCAGCAAGAAGCTTTCCGCCGGGAGAGAATGCCACAGTCCGTACTGGCTTGACCAGACCTGCAGGATATCAGACAATCTCACTCCTGATCTCTCAGAGCTGAAATGGGAATAATACCTGACAAGCTGAATGGCATCCGCCCAGTTTCTGTACTGAAGATGTAGACGCTGCCGTTCTCATGCCCACTGGCAATAAGGCGGCCATCCACGGACTGCAGAGCTCGCATGAGCATTTCCACTGACAAGGTGGCAGGTCGGACTTACCATGTCCAAGCAAGTGCCAAAACTACCCTTGGTTTCATAGTCTCGAATCAACTCGCCGTTAGCATTGAGGTCCCATACTCTAATGTGTCCATCCTGGGTGACACCAGCGAGGTACTGTCCGTCATCTGACAAAGCTACAGCCCAGGTACCAGCTGCACCTGCCATGTTTCCTATTGATCCGTCAGTAACATATCAAAGTCGCCAAGTCTTGAAGAATGAAACTGGTCCGGGTAGATCGATAAGAAACTGGGTTATGATACCTGAAGCAGCGTCGTCCTTGGACCAAGTTCCCTCGCGGCAGGCCCAGACATTGATCTCTCCACCAAAGCCTACACTGACTGCTCTGGAGCCTTTCCCATTTGTCACTATATGGTGGCAGCCGACTCTGTGGGCACCATCAATTGATTGCACCAACGGGAACTCTGGATCTGTTGTAGAATGAATCTTGAGCGCAGTTGCGCCAGAAGCCGACAGGATTTGGGTATCAGTTACAGCCAGTGAGAAGATATCAAGAGGATGAGCTGTATTCCGCATAAGCTACAGTTAACAAAGTCCAGACCAGGAAAGAAGTGAATGCGTCAAGCTTCTTTATACTGACCATCGTCCGCGGAACCCCACGACAGGTATTGTTTCGACTATGTATGTTCAGATGTACTGCAACAACCGTGGCAATTATCTTTTGGGGTCTTACCATGCTTAATCTATCTGAATCATGGGAGACACTTGGATTGTGTTGTCTCTACTCGTTGAGTGAAAAGAATGTTTGAATTGCTGAAGCTCGATAAATCGATACGCCGTAAGTGGTGGGCGCGGGAAATAAGCTCAGGTAGGTAAGGTAGGTATTTGCTGGTGAGATCATGGGCGCGAGCGGCCACGAGTCCCACCATCCCCATACACTTCAGTGCAGAAAAAGCATTCTTTTTTCCCTTCCATGGGGAGACTCCAAGAGGTTGAAAGTCGACGTGAGGCAATTATCGGTTTTGAAGGTTTCAATAATAACTATACACTAGCAAAGCAAGAGAAGAACGGGAAACAAAATTTGTACAAGGGCTCTCCAATCAAACCAGACGCCGAATGCAATGCAGCATACCCTATATCCCAGCTGTATAAAAGTACAGGTCTCTCGATACCTCAAATCTATCATCCTTGATTTTCGTGATTCAGTTTTCACCGCTCACTGTCCTCTCAGATCACCGTTGTATTCCACTCATGCCATCTGGGTGTGCTTCCATTGCTTCTTAATGTCTAACCAGGAAACAGCTCATCAGACTCTCGATAGACCAACGTATTCAATGGGCAATAACATACCTTCAATGCAGTGTGGACATAAAACATGAGCACGCTTCATTCGACCGCATCCAGAACAAGTGTTGAGGTTTTTGAGGTCTTTTAACGCCTTGCCAGCCATCTGCCTATGACGCTTTTTCATGTGGGATGTCTTCTTTTTCGGTACAGCACGCAGAACGGAATCCCAGATGCCGGAAATGATACCGGGAAGGTTCAATGATAGGGCTGCAGGACTCAGCAGCCGATGGGGGAGGATTGGAGAACTCTGTAGAAACCGCGACCACCGTCCTGCAGCGGAGGAAGATAGAGATTCCGAGGACAGAAGCACGCGAGGAAACATGTATGACGAGATGGCGGATTGAAACATTCGTGAAGTCATTTTCTTGGTTTGGTAGTGCCCGTCGGACCGTAAGACAAAATGGCGGAATTGACACTGCCTTTACGTGGCTTTCCCCGTCCAAGATCGCAAGAATTTTGGACTTGTCGGAATTCTGAAGCTTTTCCCAGCAGACGAGCGGTTTGCTGTGTTTGGATCCGGAGATGCACTAGTCCTTATACGGTATAGACTTCCCCTGAATCGCAACAACAATTAAGGGGGTTCCATAAGGTAGTCTTCTGCTCCAACTAGAAACTCCAGACTGGCATTCTTGGGGTCCATTCAGAATACCGGTTGATTTCATACGGAGCTCTCTTGGTCGACTTTTGTTCGTTCTATCTTGGCCTGTCCTCATCAAAAATTCAACTCTCCGTTGCTCAATTCTTTCATTTGATCCGGAAGTTATAACCTACGAGGTAACAGATCTCATGATGGCCACCACAGCCAATTCGAATTCGGCCAACCCAGCTACTGTTTTCCCTCGCAGTCATGTTGGCTTTGACAGTATCACATCTCAGATTGAGCGGAAGCTCTTGAAGCGTGGCTTTCAGTTCAATGTGATGTGTGTTGGTACGTGGGCGGAAACTGTCCAGTTGTTCCTTGTAACGAACTCGCATTGACTATGTCCTTCTGCTCTACCAATAGGCCAGACAGGTCTCGGAAAGTCAACTCTGATCAACACCATCTTTGCTTCCCATTTGATCGATTCTAAGGGCCGTCTGACACCCAACGAACCCGTTCGATCGACCACAGAGATCCAGACTGTCTCTCACAGTGCGTTGGTACCGGAGGATAAGATCTTCGACAGGAACGCTTTGCTAACGGTTGTTTGCTAGTCATCGAGGAGAATGGAGTACGCCTCAGGTTGAACATTGTTGACACTCCGGGATACGGCGATCAAGTCAACAATGACAGATGGTATAGATGTAACCTAGCTGCTCTTCGATGACCAAGCTGATTGTGCCATAGTTGGGACCCAATCGTGAAATACATCAAGGATCAGCACTCAGCATACCTTCGAAAGGAGCTTACTGCTCAGCGTGACCGCTATATCCAGGATACTCGTATCCATTGCTGCTTGTTCTTCATTCAGCCATCTGGCCACGCGTGAGTCTGGACCGTGAAAGTTATCGATGTCTCAGTCTTGCTAACCCTACAAATGTAGCCTCAAGCCCATTGACATTGTCGTTTTGAAGAAACTCTCAGACGTTGTCAATGTCGTTCCAGTAATCGCCAAGGCAGACTCGCTCACTCTCGAGGAACGCCAGGCGTTCAAGGAGCGCATCAAGGAAGAATTCGCTTTCCACAATCTGAAAATGTACCCCTATGATAATGACGAACTTGATGACGAAGAGCGTGCGGTTAATGCCCAGATCAAGGTCAGACCTTCTACTACCCATGCTGCTTGTATGCCCTGCCCGCCTGGCTCTAACCCTCTCTTAGGACATTATTCCATTCGCCGTTGTCGGCAGTGAGAAAACTATCGTCGTTAATGGTCAACAAGTTCGCGGCCGACAAAACCGCTGGGGTGTCATCAATGTGGAAGACGAAACCCACTGCGAATTTGTTTATTTGAGAAACTTTCTCACTCGCACTCACCTCCAAGACCTGATTGAGACAACAAGCCAGATTCACTACGAGACTTTCCGTGCGAAGCAGCTTCTGGCTTTGAAGGAGAGCAGCGCTGCGGGGGCACATTCTGCTGGCAGTCGGCCTATTAGCCCTTCTGCCGACAGGGAACTCAGTCGCAACTCGCAACGGATGACTATGAACGGCTATTAGGTGCTCATAGAAATTGTCTCACAGGATCAGTCTAATATTTCGGCTGGCCATGGTCCATAAACATACTGCAGTCATTTCCGGTCCACGCCCAAACAACGATACAGGACCTCTTCTCTTCCTACATTGCCTTCTCCTTCGGCAACTTCCATTTTACTCTAGCAGCCTTTTACAGATATCCTTTTCAGCCCTCATATTGTTCATCAGGCATTGTGCTCTTTTTCAGTTTTGCTTTATCTTCTCTCCGTTCAAGAGAGGGACTGGGTCTACCACGTTCCTAGATTTGTCGTCTCCAGACGGAAAAGAGACTAACATTCGAATGCTAGTTTAGTCTTGATGTTCATGTAATTAATCTCTCTTATGTTCGTCGACGGCGAAAAGACATCCTTGATTAATGGGCTTCTGTGAGCCGAAGTTTCCACGGCAGATGATCCATTGTTCCAGTATCACAACTGACAGTATCTACGGACGCTGAGGTATACGGTAGCGCTGATTGAAATAAAACACGCTAAGACATTCCCAAAAAATCATTGACGCGCTCCAAAGTTACCACCGTCGACAATCCAATCCCGCAGCTCCGTATAGGCCTTCTCCAGATCATCGTTCACGACCGTCTTATCATGAGAGCCAGGCTGCGCAGCATATTCCAGTTCGTTTTTTGCTTGAGCAAGGCGTTTCTGTAGCAAAGTTAGATTCCCAGCCTGACAGTCCGGCGGGTCTGGGGGAGTGAAAGAATGTCGAGGAACACCCATACCGTCAAGCTTT